CCCTGGGTCTGCTCGTCTATACATCGCACCCACACTTTCCTCTTTTTGGCCTGAGACTCGCCGTCAATGATGTGAAGTAGCCATGAAGAGGGGTCCAAATAATTACAACACGGTTTTGAAGAATAATAAGATGCCGTCAATACAATATCCCTACTCATCGTGATCATATTTTTTCCTGGCCCTCAGTAAGAATCATCTTCGTCTTGCTCATGATTACCGCATTGCCCCTAACCTAAGCGAAAATTTCTCCTAAGCGAGCCCCGATTACGACCAATTGTAGAGCTGCATCTTAAACATATGGCGGCAGGTAAAATGCCATACCACCGAACTAATTATAGACTGATGCCAAGCCTGGCACGAAAAGGAACAGTGGGAGCGGATAATATTCCAGAGAAATACCAGAGCCGTTCACCATGGGTGAGAACAATTGACATAATTGCCAACTATGCCAATTGCTCTCTCCTGGAGTTATTGGATGCGGGCATACAAGAAGCGCACAATCATTCGCGAGCTACTGGATCAGCTACATTCGATAAATCTAGGACAGCCAATAATTACGAAGCATGCACGCCTACTAGCCCAGACGACGATCCACTTTACATGAAACACCACCTTGTTATGCCAGCTCAAATGGAATAAGCAACTGTTTCGATTCCGATCCCTATACTCTCCTTATCATTTTAGCGTTGGAATAATTCTTACTTTTTAGCCTCTAATTCTGAAAATTGCTAGTAATACTATGCGTAAACACGAAATATGGCTGTTCGCTTAGGACAGGGGCGATGCGGTACGAACATTCCGCATGAAAAATTTCTCACAAACAATTTTGTTAAACCTCTTCAGTTCGCTGTTTCATTTCTCCTTAACTATCCTTGACTCATCCTTTTTCAGCTAGTTAAAAAAATCGTCGCCATATCTCGGCTATCAACAAGTCTAGACAACCTGTCGGTTTTGCGCTGAAAAACTGGAATCCTCCACCGTTCCCCGATCATGCGGCAATGAAGGGATACTATTGTCAGCTTGAGCCGCTGAAGCCTGGCCGTCATGCTCAAGAGATCGGGACCGTTCTGTCAAAGGATCCCGACGGTGCTCGTTGGACGTACATGCCGTACGGCCCATTTTCGAGCTTTGACGAATTCCCAGACATTAAACCAATGATTTCGTCTGAAATGGCCTCGAGAAGCCCAATCTGTTGCAGAGTTAAATGTTATGGATGTAATAAGCTTGAGTATCGTAAGATCTGGATTGAATACTGTTGGCACGTCAGTAGGGATCGATGTTGTTGTGTGTCGCCAGAATTTGTTTTAGAGGAGTAGAATCTTAATGCAGCTCTATCGCTCTGTCGAACCTTACTCTACAACCGTCCTTTGGTTGAAATTTAGAGCAACTGAATACCAGGAATACCAAACATTGTTATTGTGTGTAGAATGGAGGAATTCACTACGATCAATGTGTAACATTTCGTGTTTCGTGGACGAAAGGGACCGTCGGCTTGACAGCTCCAGATTCGGTTTACCAGCCTCATCGAAGTTACTCGGCTCCAGAAAACACGCAAAAGCTTTTTTCAAATCTAGATTCCAGTCTCTCTCATTGATCGAGAACCACTCCGTATCGCAATTACGCTCCTTGAGCACTAGCGCTTGGCAAAACTTCTCCTCATATGCGAATCCAAACCGAGTAATAGCACCACCTGATACGTACGTCGATGCAACTATCGCAGTCCCAGCTGCAGCGCTCGCAACTGAGCTCAAATGCATTGACTAGAAGAGGGACATCGTCTCCGTAGCTGCTC